CCATGTCCCCAAGGGCCACATCCGCGTGGTTTAATCCCTCCAGGGATGAGAGCTCCAGCCCTGCCCTGGGCAGCTGTGCCAGGGATGGACAGCCCTTTCCATGAAGGGATTTCTCTGGTGTCCGCCTTGATCTCCCCTGGCCCAGCCTGAGGCCGTTCCCTCTCCTCCTGTCCCTGTTCCCTGCCAGCAGAGCCCGACCCCTCCGGCTGTCCCCTCCAGGCAGGGAGTTGTGCAGAGCCAGAAATTCCCCCTGATCCCCCTTTTCTCCAACCTGAGCCCCTTTCCCAGCTCCCCCATCTCCTCCTCATCACACCTGAGCTCTTCCAAACACAGCAGGGAAAGAGGTGAATTTTTTGCTTTTATTTCCAACATGACACATTTGAACCTGGCCTTGGACACGCCCAGGGATCCAGGGGCAGCCACAGCTTCCCTGGGCACCCTGTGCCAGGGTCTCCTCACTCTCACAGGGAAGAATTCTTTGCCAAAATCCCACCAAGCCCTGCCCCCCTGTCATTGTGAATTCATTCCCACTTGTCCTGTCGTTCCATTCCTTTGCAAAAAAACCCTCTCCAGCTCTTTTGTTGTCCCCCTTCAGGTAGTGAAATATTTTGCTCTAATTAATGGAAGCACACCCAGATCAAAGTCCAACCCCAAACTTTTATCTTTTCCATGTGTAGCCGTGGAGTTGCACATCTTTCCAGGATCCTCATTAGTGTGGAGGATCTGTACCTCAATGATATTAATAATAGCACTGCCAGCTGAACGCTCTGCTGGGGAAGATGTAATTAATTAAAGCAAGGCCCTCGTGATGCCAGCAGATATTTCCCATTTTTCAGGTGAGAAAAGGTGAGGTGAGCAGTGGTGTGGGTGTGCCATGCTCGTACCAGAGGCATTGGGAAAACAGTGATGGAAATTCCTGGCATTGTCCTCCCAGCCAGGGAACACAGCACAAATTAATTCAAGCTCTTGGTGATGAAGCCGGTCAGTTCACCCCTCTTCAGGGATAGATTTTCATGAGAAAATTGTTGTGTTCCTTCATATCCACGTTTATCCAATGGGCACACATTAAATAGGAAGACAATTGCATAAATTCAGCTGCAAAGAGGCACAAACCCCTGAGCAGTTCTGATGCAGGACTTGTTTTTGAGACCTCCTGTCTCTCTTCCCTTCTCTGTTTCATCCTGAGCGTGTTCCCCGCTGCCAGATTTCTTCTGAGGTTTTACAGACGACTCCAAATCCAGAGATTCATTATCCTCTTACTCACTTTTTCACACAACAATATTTTGACCAGTTTAATCATCTGCATGGAGAGTGTGGAAGTCTTGGCAGCTACTTGGCATACTAAGATAGATTCCCAAAAAGACCAGATACGCTTCAGAAATGTTGGAGAAGGAAGAGAGGAGATGTAATTTGCTTATTAATCATGCAGGAGAACAGACAGAGGAATGTCTCTGCTCCTCACTTACTTCTCTCCCTCTCCTCAAATTCTTGTCTGAATATCCAAATCACTTTAGGATATAAATCCCTGCATTGTTGTTCCATGTGCAATTGGCTCCATGTGGTCTTTAGAAAAGCTAAATGAGTTCCTTAAATGTCATGCTTGGTTATTCTATGGATTATTTGTGGCTTCTAATAAAGTTATGTCAGTGCTGTTTCTAAATTTATATAATTTTAAGTCTGAGCAGTATTAGTTATAAGTGCATAAGTGATCAACAACTCTATCAAGATTCTTTTTTCTTCCCTTTTTCCTGGAAAAAATAGTGAAGTGTGCCCTCAGGCACATTCTGTGACCTTTGTCTTCATTGGCCATTGGTCACTGATGCTCTTTTACCACTTCATACTTTAAATTTCCAGTATTTTTGCTGAGATAAACAGGGCTGCTTTAGACATTTGGATTCTTCAGGGTGGTAAATCCATGAGAAATCCAGGCTGTATTAGACAAAGTCAAATGCCTTTTCCGTGTGAAATGGGAGGCGGTGTGAAATAACACAGCATGCACAAAGCTACTATTATGTGTTCTCTGATGTCTACACAGACAGACAAGTATCAGTGCAGAAAGTGATTATTCCAACATATTTCGAATCCATATGTTTATTCCTCCTTCCTCACAAGATGGCAGCTTGTGTGGAATGAAAAAAAAAAAGAGAAAGTGCAATAGGCTCAGATCCGTCACAGTGTAAAAGCAGGAAGGTTCTGGAACAGGAGTGATCTTAATATTGGCTTGGATGGGACTGAACCTGCTCTTCTGGCTGTGGAAATCTTCAGGTTTGGGTGTTGCTGATTTAGAGGAGCCCAGAGAGGATTTTGGTGTAGGGACTGACCAGTGGGTCATTGCATCCAGCTGGAAAATGGAAAGGAGTGAAGGAGACGAGGCATTTGCAATGACTGACAGCTGCTGTGTTATTCCTGTCTTTCCAAGGAGTTTCTTATTGAACCAGATAGAAAAGTGCAGAGCTCTGTGCTGGGATCTGCAGCCTGTCCTAGGCTGGGCTTCCTGGTGTCAGTCAGAGCAGATGGAATGGGGGAATCCAGCGGGGTTTGGACAAGCACGGAGCAAAGTCAGCTTGGTAGGGGCAGAAGAAACTCAGCCAATCATGGAATGGTTTGGGTTGAAGGGACCTTAAAGATCACCTAATTCCACCCCTGCCGTGGGCAGGGACACCTCCCACCAAGGTTTGTGGGGCCACAGGGGGGATAAGAAGTTGTTCTTAGCTCTCCACTCCTTTGGACATGCTGCTTGTTTGCTCTTCCAGTGGGAAGTTCTCCCCCAGACCAGCTCTTCTGCATTTAACAAACTTTAGCAAAGTGTAGGGGAGATTTTCAAAGCTCAGGTTTGCTGCAAGATTTTACAAAAGAAACAATTCAAACCCTGTTAATTTGTCAGAATTTCCTCTTTGATTATTTCTGAATATCCCACCTGGAATCCATCATTCAATTGCAATCCTCAACCCCTTCCCAGCTGCCAGTGACAAAAATATTACTTTGAATTCTGATAATTAGCTATGGCCTCCTCATTTTTTTTTTTTTTTTTCAGTGCAACTTTATCATTTATATTTCATTCCTCTCCAAATCCAAAAATTTGCTTTGTGGGCTTGGGTTATTTTTCCCCCCTTTTCTCCTATAAAATTCAGCTTCTTTCCCTGCTTTCAGAAGTTTCTGGAATTTTTTGAGGTTCATGTTCCTCTGCAGATCATGCCACAGAAAACAATGATAATTATGTTAATCACTACCTAAGCTTTGTATGCTCACATTTAGTGCTGTCACCTGCAGCTCCTTTGGAGCTGTTATTTATTCCCAGATCCAGGAGCACTGCAGGGTGTCTGGGTACATTTTGGATCTGAAGACCATTATGTTTGTCAGTGGAAGCTTTTAGCTCTAATCTCAGCTTTGGATGGCTTGGGATGAAAAGGGAGGCTGGGGAGCTTTTCTTCCCTCATTCCACCACTTCTTGTGCCTTCCCTAAATTTTCTCCCAGGCTTGTTCCCAGGGCTTTTATCCCTTTCTGCTCCCTCTCCCACCTCACCTCTCCCCCCTGCTGATCCCACTTCTCCAGAGGATGAATTCCCCAGCCCCAGACCCCATTTCCACTGTCTGTCCTCTGCCTGTGCCTCCTGTCAGGGTGGTTTTTTGTGACATTAAAGGCATTGCAAGGACCTCTTTTAATTCCCAGTCCTGCGATCCACCTGAAGACGCCTCGCTTTTACATTGGCTGCTCCAAGTGCAGGAGGAAAAAGATGCTTTTATGTAGGAAAGGATTGAGAAGAAAGGTCTCAAAAGCTGGGAAAGCTCTTCTGCTTCCCTGGCACATGGATTCACTTCCACTGAGTTCAGCTCAGACTTCTGGCAGCCCGTTAAGTTCAGTGTTACTGAGCTCAGTTCTACTACATGTGTAATTATTTACTAAAAGTATTCTTTGTCTTGCGAAGTCGCAGATGCCGAGTCCAATTCCATTTGCAGTCATGCTCCTGTATTTGTGGACATTCTACTGTATCTGGAGAACAGATAAATTCTTCAGGTAATTTTATTTTTGATTGATTTTCATGTTTCAGTAACGTAAGTGGTCATCTATCCAAATACATGACCACAAAACTGCGTTTGAAGGTTGAAGATCCAACAGTTGCAAAGACAAAATACCTATTCAGGAAAAAAAAAAAAAAAAAAAAGCCTTGAAATGTCATTTTAAATGTTTGGGAAAAAGTAAAATTCGTCTCTGATGGGCTGTCCAGAATGATCCATGCTCAGGGTAATAAGTGCATCTTTATGTGGGTAGGGATGGGTGTCACCGCTGCCCTTGGCAGGGGCTGGAATGAGATGAGCTTTAAGGTCCATTCAACCCAGACCATTTGGGGATTCTGTGATCCCAAATGAAGATAATAATAATAATAATAATAAAAATAATAACAAACTGCTTTCTTCTGTCAGCAACACTTGCACGTGTGCTGAAGGCACTCTAAGAGGCTGTCATGCTTTCTAATGACTGTAATTCATCATGGGAAGCCATCAGTTTGGAAATAAAATATTGCTCTGTGGCATGGAGATTGATGGCCATGCTCTGTTTATTGATTGCACTATAAAAATAAAAAAAATGGGGGAAAAAAATTAATATTTTGAAAGCTGGTAGCACCAGGATAACTGATTTGAAATCTGCCATTTTCCTTTTTTTGCAGTTCTCTATAATGTGGCTGCAACATGGAAAGAGACAGAAAATATGGTGTTATTGTGCAAAAGCCAACTTCATATTATTTTCTTTCCATATGTTTTTCAGTGCATTAAATATTTAAAACTGTGTCATCACTCCTCAGAAATGAATATACCTGTCACTCACCCCTATTAGGCTTAGATTTTGAAGAGCCCTGGTTTCTGTAGTAAAACCTTTCTGAAATGAGAGCAGGGCTGACTGAACAAAGCACAGAGTAGGGCAGCTTGCTTTTTTAGCCTAAATAATTGGGATGATGTCTGATTTTCTCATTTCTACTTATTTATTTTGAATGGAGGGAAGCTGATTCCTGATTCTTGGAGGTCAGGGTGTCTCTGGTGAAGGGAGAACCGGCCCTTAACTAAATAAAGATCTTGGACTTGGGACAGGTAAGTGAATCCCAGGATCACAGAGGTTGGAAAAGGCCTCGAGGGTCATCATGTCCAAGCTGTGCCCAATCCCCAACTTGTCACCAGCCCTGAGCACTGAGTGCCACCTCCAGATTCTCCTTGGGCACCTCCAGCGATGGGGACTCCCAAATTCCCAACACTTGACAGCCCTTTCCATGAAGAAATTCCTCCTGATGTCCAACCTGAACCTCCCCTGGCGCAGCTCGAGGCCGTTTCCTGTAGGACAGGTCAGGAGAACCTCAATTCAAACAAAAATTAGGGTTGAGGGTGACAGCAACATTGGAGTGGCTGCTACAAAATGGACTAAGAGACCCATGGATGAATTTGGTCTCTCCTCTTCCCTATTTGGGAATAGCAACCAAAAATATTTGGGAATAGAACCGTTTTTCCATAAATCTGAGTCACAATTATTGTGGATCAAATCATGTGCATTCTGTACATTTCAGTGACTTCCAAATTCAGCAGTCTGGTTTGATTCCGAGTGGGGTAGCCATGGTTACATCCACCCCAAAGCCATCTCCACTCCGGAAAAAAATATATGACCTTAATGTCTTTTTGTGAAAGTAGGAAAGCACAGAGACATTTTCAAGTATCTGTATTTGTTAAATTCCAAATTGCCTTTCTAAAAATACAATTGTGAACTCTTTGGGAATTAGAAGGAAGACATCTATTTCAGAAGGCACATTTTGAAGCAATTTTAGGCTGAAGTGAGGCCCAAAATTCTGGCTTTTTGTTCTTCTCATGGAGACATAGGGAATGAAAATCCAGTGGCCATCGTTAGCTTCTGGTGATCAAAATAAAGAATATTTTCAGATCTTCTTCTGCTTGAGCTGCTACTGATCTTAAAGAAACTCAACATCTTTCTCCAGCTGCAAAGCCAAGGACCAAACTGTCTCATTAATTCCGTCATATTTTGGGGAGCCAATTAGCACAGAATTAGTTTCAGACTCTTCTAACCCTAACGGCAGACTCAGATGTGGTTTAGAGGTTTTAATCTTTTAATTCTTGCCTGCCTCCAAATTTGGAAATTATTAAACAGTTTAAGAATTAGGAACCAAGTTGGTGTCAGTGGTTTTCTGGAGAAGGAGAGGCTCAGGGGGAGCATCACTGATCTCTACAACCCTGACAGGAAGGTGGAGGAGGGTCAACCTCTTCACTTGTCTCAGGTGAAGGGACAAGTAAAAAGGGCCTTAAGTTTCACCAGGCCAGGTTCAGATCAGATATCAGGAAAAACAAACATTCCCTTTGGTCAGACACTGGAATAATTTTCCCAGGGAGGTGGTGGAGTCAGCACCTCTGGAAGTGTTCAAGAGGTGCCTGGATGTGGCCCTCGGGGACATGGTGCATCCCACCCACCCCATATCTATACAGGTATTGCTCTGCTGAGTTCCAAAAATATTTGAGTTAAAAATAAACAAATCCAACATGTCCAGTCAAGGATTTGTTCTAAGCACCACCCACGGCTCCCAGGGGTTTTGTTCCATTTTAATTTTGTTTTCGCACTACAAAGAGAAGCCTTTGTTTGCACTCGGGAAGAGCACCTGTGGAATCTTTAAACATTTTCAGGCATGTTTGAAAAGCTCAGCCTCGTGGTAAAGATTTAATCTATCAAAGTGGTATAAATAATGTAGACATAGCCTTAGGTGTCACTTCTTCCCCTTGCAGGTAGGAAAAGAACAGAAGCATCACTCTGGTGCATTTTAAAATATTGCTCAGGCAGAGCAGTGACAGATCCTGGGCTGGCCCTGAATTATGGGTGTCTGTTTATTACTGGTTATTTATAAGGGAAAAAAACCACACTTACAAACCACCAGGATCCAGACCAACATAAACAGCAAAATAATGTCTTATTAAAAACCCTAAAAAAGGTTTACCTCTAAAGGTTTTGCTTTTCGAGTAATTAAAAAAGAATTGCTCAGCAGAGGTTAATTGATTTATGTTTGACAGCTGATGTGGTGCTTGATGGATGTCTCTGGGAAACTAAATCTCCAAGACAAAGACACCTTTTTGTAAGATTTAAGTAAAAATACCTGCATTTAAGTAAAAATACCTGCATTGTGAAATGTCCTTGCAAAGTTCCAAAATAATAATGTTTTGCCAAAAGTCTGTTTTCGCAACAGAATCCAGGAAAACAGCTGCAGGTTTTGTTATGGATGTGCTCCAGAGTGAGCTCACAGATCCTGTGAGGTTCCCCTGGTGCTGGAGAGGTCATTCCTTAACAGAAAAAAATAAATCCAAAACTTCCCTGACCATTTTTATTAATTATCTGCATTTCCTGTCATGTCTTGAAAGTTTTCTTTTAGCCTGGACATCCATGAAGAGTGAATTTGGATTAATTTAATAAGCATAAACTTCATTATTTCATACAGTATTGTGTTCATCATACTTGGATTCAGAAAGATGTTTCCTGCTACAGAAAAAATGATTGAGAAAGGTAATAATTTATGGGTGAATGGCTCAAGTGGAAGGGGAACCAATGAAGGTTGCTTGGGGTGTGCAGATGATGAGGAGCTTCATGTACAGCTCCTTTTATAGGGTACTCAGATAAAACGTGGCATTTCTTTCCCTAAGACCTGAATGTGTGAAATGTTCATTTTATAGCATGAGGATTAGAGTTGAAAAAGTCATATTTATCTGCTGCTGCCTCAAACATCCCGAGCTGCAAAAATATCCTGCTCGGCGTCTTTGCCAGGTATGTGCTCCAATGGAAAAGCGCATCTCCCAAACTGGGAAAAAGGTTTAAAAAATGGGTTTGGGGAGTGGTTTGCATCGCTGGGAATCAGCACTGGTTTGTGGGGGTGCTTGGGGTGTCTCTCTGGGTTCTGTGCCAGTGCAAAGGGGCCCCCAAAGGCGGGGATGGAGGGCAGGCTGTGCTTGGAGGGGTTGGGGCACGTCCTGAGGATCGCGCTCCTTTTCAAGCCCGTGTTCCCAGACAGAGCTGGAGTGCTGACACTTCCCCACGTACCCAAAGGAACTGCAAGCCCAGACTTAGCAGACACCTGCTCCTCCTTTAATTTAGCTTTTTCCAGGGGAACTAAGCCTGTGGAGGGTGTTGCTGTCACGCCTTGCTCCCATCGCCTTCCGGGTCTGCTCCGGAGTGACAATGTGTCCACAAGGAATTTCTCCATCTCACCCTGTGGAACAGAGCTACCCCACCTGACTCACATCAGCCCTCATCCCTGAAGGTTCAAAAGGTTCAAATAACCGGTGATGACTCAGAAAATATGAGGCTTAAACTTTTATCCTTGGAGATCTGTGTGAGACTGGACACAAATAACTGCGGTGTCTGACCCACGCGGTGTTGGATGTGCCCGTCTCACAGTCTGGGTTTCCACAAATACTCTCAGCACCTGAAGGATGAAGGTTTGGTGGTTTGAAAGGCTCGAGGAATAAGAGGCAGGGAAAGGAGCTGATCCCCAGCCCAGTGCTGCCGTCATGCATTCAGCAGGTGTTGCTTTTTCTGCTCTGGAGTCTCAGATTAATTCTTTGAAAGATTTCAGCCACATCATCAGTGGTGTGGAAAGATGTACAAGGGCAAAAAGGAAAGGGAACAGAGAAAACAGTGGTTTTCTGCTTCCAGGGCTGTGCATGGGAAAGAAAACAACTGTTCTGCAGCTTATGAGGTGCATCCGTCAGTGAGGGACACGGCGCAGCTGGAGACGTGGGGAAACGCTGTGTGCTTTACACAGAATCCTGAGGTCACAAAGCCTGGAAAAGCCTCTGAGCCCATCCAGTCCAACCACTCTCCAGCACTGCCAAGGCCACCACTGCCCCATGTCCCCAAGTGCCACATCCACATGGCTTTGAAGTCCCTGCGTGGGTGGGGACTCCCCCACTGCCTTGGGCAGCTGTGACAAGGTTTGGTCGCCCTTTTGGAGGAGAAATCTTCCCAATATTGAACCTAAACCTCCTCTAGTGCAACTCAAGGCCATTTCCTCTCGTCCTATCCCTTGTCCCCTGCGAGCAGAGCCTGAACCCCAGCTGACAGAACCCTCCTGTCAAGAGATGTTGAAAAACACAGTTGAAGGAAAGTTGTTGTTGGGAGAAAATAGAGTCCCAAATGAGCCTCATTTACCCCAGGCTAAAAACCCTCAGCTGCTCCTCATCAGACTTTCCTCCAATTACCTTCTGCCCTGGGGTTTACCCCAGCCCTAGATGGCTTTGGTAGGGTTTTGGCTGGTTTGTTAGGGAAAGCCAAGTGGGGAGGTAAATCCTGCTGGGAATTTTGTGGGGAATGCCCTCCAGCCCTGCTCCAGTCCCACCTGGATGAGAAACGTCACCTCTTCTGTGTTCTGGACACTGCACAGAACCATTTGTATGGGTGATGTAAGTGGCTTCAATTTATTACTTCAGCTTGTTGAAATTGCTCTTAACTCTGCTGTTGGCAAATACAAGTCAGTGAGGTTTTGTTGTATTAGCAGGGAAAAATCCAGAGTCAGGAATGGGCTACAGAGATGGGCATCAGGAGGATCTGTAGTGTTTGGTGTAAAATATTTGGGTTATTTTGGTGGGGAAATACTTAATATAGAAAGCAGTAGATGAAATAAAATAACAGAAAAATATCTAAGGCCCAGCCTGATGCAATAAAATCATTTTGGTGTCGAAGCCCAGTGTCAACAGCAGCCCTGGAGCTTGAAGTCATCTCCTGGGTCCTCCTGGGATGAGCTTCACCCCTTCGAGGTGCAAGTACAGGAAAGTTGTTTCTTTTAGCTCTTAGGGATTTATCAACCAATACAACCAGTGTATCTCATCTCTGCCTATGAAAATCACTTTTAACGTGTCTCCTGATTTTTACTCAGGGAAATGAGGTTGGAAAGTTCACGTGTTCCTGTCCCACCATGCCTAAGTTCTATAATGGAAGCTCCCACTGCCTCCAGATTTTATATTTCAGCTACTGGCTTTGTAGAGATGAACAATTTCTATCATCCTGCAAAGTAATCCCTATTAAACCTTCTAAATCCTGTAAAGTTTTTTTAATTCCTGAAAACTTTTCTATCTCTCCTTTGGTTTTTACATGCCAAGGATTGAAGTTTTTAGAGGGAGGTATTAAAAACTGGGGAGAAAAAAAAGTCATATTCACTTTCAGGTACAAAAATTAATTAGCCCAAGAATTTCAATTTCCATAGTGGCAAGTCATACTAAATTAGCTTTCCTGTGGGAAAAAGAAAAGTTCAATTAAAACAAAAGACCTGTGTGGAAGAGATTCTGCAAACTATTTCAAGTTCAGTTTTCAGATGGGTGACAAATTAAGAGGGATATTAAGATTTTATTCAGGTCTGCGCTTTAAGAAACTTTAACTTATACCAGAGAGCAAAAGATAAATAGAGTCAGTTCTGCATGACTTCTGATATAAAAACTAATAGGATGGAAAATTACTTTGAAGTAGAAGTGGCTCGATATTAGATAATTATCAGTGCTTAGTTGGAGTTCTGTAACAGCTGAGTGACAACAAGGGTGTTCTCTGTCTATAACCTGACAGCAAAGGCTCTTATTGATACAAGTGATTTAAAAAGTATTTTAGTTTTGGGTTTTTCCTCTTGTTCCTCACAGTGTTCAGTGCCCAGATATCGTGGTGCTGCTCAGAGCCCGTCTCAGGGTTTGATCCAGCTGGCCAAATTAATCCCATTTATCCTGGAAAACTTATGGAGAACATAAATTCATAGTGGTTTTGGTTCTGATTTCTGTGAGGAGAAGTGAATAATTTCTGAGGTCCATATAGCCTGAGTTAGTCCTTACACTCTCAAAATTCACCAAAAATTTAAATTATCTCATTTTAGTCTGGAACATCTCAACTTTTCATGTGGGCACGGCCTCGGGTGGATGAAGTTTTCCAGGTTTTTGATGAACAGAAGGTTCTCAAAAGCGCCCGTGAGCATCTGATTGAAAGTCAGAGGCAGTTTTACCTCTGTTGATGAAATCCCTGATTGCAGAGAGGTTTGGAGGATGGCAGAGGAGGTTCAGTATTTTTTCCCTGATGGTTTGGAGTCGTGTCCAGGAGCATGCCCTGCGTCCTGAGCTTTCTCTGGCTGCCTCTTCTGGTGGACAAGGAACAGCTGCTTTGGGTTTGTGTATGAAAATTGATAAGAACATGAGAAATGATCTCCTGGAACAGGCTTGGCCCTGCCTTCTGCATCTGGAAGTGCAGTGGGAGATGCTATTCAGGGAGAGCAAAATCTTCACAGAAACACAACAGCTCGGAGCTGTTGGGGAGCACCAGCAGTGAAAATATCGAGGCTGAGCTGATTTTCCTTCTCCCTGCCTTCCCCCCCTTGATGCTGGGTGTCTGGAGAACATCAGGAGTTCATTTTGACACTGGATTTCTTTTTAGAGCTGTTGATTAAGTTATTTTTTTCCTTTTATTTTTGGCTTAATTTGGAATAATTTTCATGACTTCTGAGGGCTCAGGCATTGTGTTACTGTAGTTTAACCTCCAGTTTGGCCAAAAACCCTGCAGGGACTTACTTTGGGCTGGGTGAGATGGTTGGGTCCTTAACCCACAGAAATTTGCTTGAATCCAAGAGAAACAGTGGTGGGCTGGATGTGTGGTGTTTTGGGAACAGCCATGGAGTTAAATTGTTGGATGTGGAAGATCTGATCTTTGGTCTATCCCCATCATCCCACAGAAGGATGGGTAGGAATCTGAATAATGGGAAAACACCTTTGCTGGGGTTGGAAGAACCCAATAACTCTTTGAGGAGATAATGACAATGGAAGAAAATTCTGGAAAACTCAAAAGTCTGAGCCTGCAGGAAAGCAGGTGTCAAAAGGCAGCAGGAAACAAGGACAAAATAGTGAAAGCATTTTCCAAGGGTGATGTTTTCTCTATCAGCTCTCAGACTCAAGCTAATCAGAGACATTAGAAATTCAAAATATTCCGCCAGGGCCTTTCTCAGAGCCAGGTTTTTGTGGAGACCTTGTTTTCCCCAAGAATGCCCCGAGCCCTGCCTGGGTTTAGCATGGCTGAGCCTAAATTAACATTCCATTTTGGCTGCTCTGCAGCCACAATCTATCTGTAACAGGAGATTTATCCCTGCAGCTGGAGTGGCAAGTGCCTCAGAGAGATGAGGCCATCGCCACCACACAAATATTTTCTTTTTCCATGCTCACCCTTTGAAGGGGTCACACACAACAATATTCAGGATAAAATTATGCAGGAGGAGAGGCAAAATTTCTCCCTTTTTTTTCTGGCAGTGGTTACTTCTTCTTTTAATGGTAGGGTTAAAGAAGCAAGTTCTGTTTGCAAGGAACTAGCAAAAAAAAAATATGGTTAATATGGTTTAATAAGTATTTAGCACTCTGGTTTGCAAAATACCGTTAATATATTTTTTTTCTATTAAGAATATTCCCCAGGAAGAACAAATCTCTCATGAAAACCTCCTCTAAAGAAGAATAAAAATGGTTTTTATGTGACAAACTCCTGAATTAAGTAATACTTGGATGTTGAAAGATCACAACAGAGCTGGAACAAAAGAGAAAAATCTGACTGAAGAAGCAAATCATTCAAATGTGCCTGGCAAAGGGTATTCAGGGTATGCTGTCTTGAGGGTTTTCACCCATCACTCACAGGCTGCTGTCACTGTCTGTAGGAAACAAAACTCTTCAGAGTTGCAGCTAAAGATTGTCTTTAGGGCAGGGAACCAGTGGGAAAGATCTGTGTCCTTCCTTTCTCGTCAGGAATTTGTGGATTAACAGGGTGGTTCAAGTGTTTGGGAATGGAGTTTGACACCAGAAGCCTTGCAGGGCCTGGAGGGGCTCCAGGAGAGCTGGAGAGGGACTGGGGACAAGGGATGGAGGGACAGGAGCCAGGGAATGGCTCCCAGTGCCAGAGGGCAGGGCTGGATGGGATATTGGGAATTGGGAATTCCTGGCTGGGCTGGAATTCCCAGAGCAGCTGTGGCTGTCTCTGGATCCCTGGAAGTGCCCAAGGCCAGGCTGGATGGGGCTTGGAGCAACCTGGGATAGTGGAAGGTGTCCTGGGCATGGCAGGGGTGGGATGAGACAGAAATCCTTCCAGGATTCTGTGAGGAGAGAGGAATTTATGCTCCAAGGAACAGCTGATGGCCAGAGCTGTGAGGGGGAGCTGCCTGGGAGGGGCTGGGCTGGAGGATTTGGAGATGGAAAGCACACGGGGCAGAGCAGCAGGGGCACCAAGGTTTCTCACAGCAGCTGGAGGAGCACTCAGAATTCCAGTGGGTGACCTTAACCAGAGCTGCCAGGGCAGCTGTTTGGGTTGGGAGCCATGTGGGAGACTCCTGGAGAGTATTTGGGATAGTTCAGGGGTGTTTTCTCCCTGAGCTGAGCTGTTTTAGGGGGGTGCTGTGCTGGATCTGCTGGTGATGAAGGAGGAGGAGCCGATGGGATGTGCAGCTCCAGGTCAGCCCTGGCTGCAGGGCCCTGGGGATGAGAACATCCCAAACCTTTAAACACCGTGGGAAGGGAGCAGGGGGGATGAGCAGGGATTGATCTGGCTCTGCCTGGAGCAGGTGTTTGGAGCAGGCTCCTCCAGAGGTCTCACAGCTGCGGCTGATCTCTGAACCTCTGGTTTCTCACTTTGTACCAAAACTGGAAACTAAGAGAGGTTTATTTCGTGAGCCCCAAATCTTTGTCCTGTGGATTTGCTTGACTGTTTGCTGATTTGTAGAGCTGGCTTTTGGTTTGCTTCTTTTTTTCCCTAACCCGTCCATTGTGTTGTAATCTGACTTCCTGGGAGTCAAAATTGGGTTCTGGTTCTTTATCACAAAGGAAAGGCAAAATACAACCCCAAATATGACCTATGGGCTGCTCTGCTTCTGCTGGACTTTTATTATTCATCTAATATATGAATTCACTTTAGCCTGTTTCTGTTGAACCATTAAAATACAAAGGAAATGAGAATTCATGTTTGTGCTGATAGAAAATGCAGTTATTGAGAATTTTATGAAATGGCTGGCAATAATTTTAGAGCATTAAGATAATTGACTGGCCCTATCTACCAGTGCTGAAATAGAAATATCTTTAAATTTTCTCATTATTTTACTCTTTTTGACACCTTTGTTCTCTCATCTTTCAATACTCAGCGTTTTCACTCAGTTTCTACTGCATTTGTGGGACATTACAGTGGTTGGCCCGTAAATGTTACAATTATTTGGTTTTAAGAACTAGATCAGTTAATTAGAAAAAAAACTTGAAAATGCATTGCCTTTTTTAAGGTAAAAAAGTGTATTTTTTCACCTTAAAAGCTCTTGATATGCTTGG